AACAATTTTTTGTTATCCTTAACTTGGGATGCCATCCTCAGCTCCATGGTAGCTTTGGCCTGTCTAACTGCCTCCCTACAAGCGCGAGCAGAGGAGGTATACTCCTCTTTAGTAATCTCTCCTCGTTTCCACTTTTTATATGCCCCCCTTTTAGCCCGTAGACTGCTCTGGATTTCTCTGGTCAGCCAAGGAAGCCTCTTGGCCCCTTTCCCCATTTTTCCCCACATCGGGATCGTCTCCCTCTGTGCCCAAAGGATCATTTCCTTAAGGCACAGCCACCCTTCCTGGGCTCCCAACTCTTTAAAACTCTTACTCTGAAGTGCATCCTTGACTAAACGCCTGAGTTCATTGAAGTCAGCTTTCCTAAAGTCCAGCACTTTCACCCTACTAGTTACCTTACCCACTCGACATCTTACGGTGAATTCTATTATTTGGTGATCACTGTCCCGCAGGTGACCACCGATCTGTAGGTCTCCTACCATGTCATCCACCGTTGCCAATACCAGGTCCAGTAAGGCATGTCGGTTTCAGTTGGTTCTTGTGTATAGCTGTTATTATATTTTCCATTTTTTGTTTGAGAAGAGAGGACATGTTTAAACCGAACTTGGTTATTTTTTCTGCCATCAAAATCCCCATATCTAACATTTAAAGTAGGTCTTTAAGGGTGCAGACAGAAGTTACATTTTTCACATGATTGGCCCCTGAAAGCTCTTTGTAGCCATGCCATGACATACATGCACAGCTGCAGAGCACTTTTAAAGTGCACAAAAAAATAACACTGCTCAAATGAGGTATCAGATGAAGGTGCTCTGCTTTATTGTGCCTTAGAGAAACTGTGTTCATGGGGTTAATTTTTTGTGTGTTTGGGGTTAGGCTGATGCAGCCTAGCCCCACCCCTGGCACTGTTAGCAAGGAGGGAGGAGGAAGGGGGAAGCCAGCAGCAGTGTGCTGCTGGCTGAGCTTTTGCCCAGCCTGAGCTGGAGTGGGGCATGTATTGGAGCCCCCTTGCCTCACAGTCCCTCCCCTGCAGCCCCCAGGTCTGATCCACCCTCCCACCCTCCAGCTCAGGCTGGACAAGCTGGCAACTTGTGCCGCTCCTTCCCCCCTGCTTTGTCCGGCCTGAGATAGGGGAGTTGGTTCAGAGCCCCCATGCCTTGCAGGCCCAGCCCAGCTCCCCCCACTGCCCCAGCCAGGGGTGTTGGGGGAGCCATGAGGAATGGGGGGTTCTGATCTACCTGCTCCCTTCCAGCTCAAGCCAAGCAAAAGCCCAGCTGGCAACACATTGCTGTTCTCCTTCCTCCCACCTCCCTCCCTCCTGACAGCCCTGGAGCTGGAGGTGGGGCTGGGAACAGGAGCAGATCAGCAGCCTCTTTGGAGATTGTTGGACCACCCCCACCTGCTGGCCCGGAGGGCCAGTGCAGGCAGCCAGCTAAATGTCTGTTGGGGGTGCGGGGAGTGCTCTAACTCACGGCACTTTATGTAAAGTGTCATGAGTTAGAGTGGGGGCCTGAACATCTGTCTGCACCCTAAATGCCCACTTTTCACTTCAAGTGACAGATATCTTTTTTCTAACACTGTGGTCTATTTATCTGCTTGAATTCAAATACAGATACAACTGTAAAGGCAACATAAGTTTGAAAATGCTCATCCTAATAAGTAGAAAGTAAGGTGCCCTGATTTCAAACTTATGGTAAAACAGAAATAGTACCTTTTCCCTCTACTTCTGTGATCTGATATCAACCTGCAAGTCGTTGGCTTTGCTCATCCAATAAGGCAACAAGTTGAGATGATTTTGAAGTCTTTCCAAAGAACAGTTCTCCTCTCACTCCCCACCTCCCCTGTCCTAGTAGAAGAATGTGGATATTATGAAGAATAACAAAATATTTTTCCCCTTTAGGCTACAGCCATGCTACTGCTTGTATTTAAATACATGCTACTGCTTGTATTTAACTTTGTCAGTGAGCAGCCCCACCAAATTCACTTTCAGTAGGGTTACTCACATGCATGAAGATTAGCACTTATGTGATTGCAGAACTGTGCCATACTCATTTCTACCAGCCAATGTACTGCTGCGCAAGAAAGACTAAAAGCAAGACAAGTAATGGTTACTGTTATTTCCCTATCATCTATTATAAGCATTTTGAAAGTAGCAACCACTGTAATAACTAGACCCCATCACATACTTCAAAAAGTACAGCAATGAGCCTCCAAAAGAAACCAGTTCCTGTGGTTAGTTTGAGATGGCTAATTTATTTTAGGAGCAGGTTGTCTTGGCCATTTTACAGTGATGTTAGAATGCCTGATGAAAGAGAGCAAATCCAGGGTTTACGGTTTAGGTGTTAATAAATGGTGAAACCAAAGGCACTTCATAAGGGATTCCTTACTGTTGGTTCGATAGGTTTGAATGCAGGCCCAATATGCTGCAGTTTTCTTTTTAAACATACCTAAGAGATCAGTGGTCTTTGACACAGCTGGATCTTAACCCACCTAGTGAAGACATTTAAAATAAGAACCGAGATCTTAAACTGTGTCCAGACCAGGCTGGCAACCAACAAGAGTACAGAATGGCTGTAGAGGAGAGAGAGCCTGCAGGTTGTCTGTAGGTTGTGGGTGCCTTTTGTATGGAAATAAAGCAAAGCAATCCAGTTTTAAAGAGATAAAAGGACAATAGAATTGTGCCAAGTGAGACATCAGCTCACTGAACATCTGCAAGTGTGGCTGTAGAGCCCAATTCTTTAGTGGTAGTGCCTCCCCTACTTTTCTACTGTTACCTACATGGAAAACAACAGGAAGTCAAGACTACAATATTATTCCATGTGCATAAATATGGCTAAATTGGACCCTGAAGCATTGACCCAAAACACTGATCTTGTCTGTGAATTGGAGGAGTGATTTTTATAAGAAGAACAAACAAGTAATTATCATTTTTCTTTCTTTCTTTTTTTTTGTAGAACTCTTACTCAAAGGTCACAGGAACCTGATTCCTTAAGTCTGTCCTGTAGCTAGCTGCCAACTGCATCCAAGAAGAAAGGGTATGAATTTTAGCTTGGATGAAGAACAGGAAAGACTTGAATTAATGGGCAGTTCTCAGTGAATTAATGTGTCAAAAAGGATAAGGGTGCAATAGGCTGGATTTTAGTCACCAGGCCTATCTATTTTCCTGTGATTGGAACTAATATCAATGCATTGTGCCAATCCAGCCAAGCTGCAGAAAGTTATCTTGCTTCAGAAATCTTATGAATGGATTGACAAACAGGAAGTCCTCAAGCATAGACCATTCAGGCCAGTGCATGCAAATGGGACACTGAATAAGTGAATGGGGCAGTTCGCACATCTTAGAACTAGAGGGCTAATTTAAGGTTCTACTGAGATTTGAGCTCAAAACCTCTCGTAAAATAAGCTAAGGAAATACAGACTAGATGAAAGTACTGGAAGGTGGATATAGAACTTATTGAATCGTTGTAGTCAACAAGTAGTCTTTAGTATCTCTATGTCTAGCTGGAAGGAGTTATTGAGTGTGGTTCCCCAGGAGTCTATCCTGGGCCTGATTTTATTACCTTCATTAATGATTTAGAGCAGCCCATGTGGCCAGTGAGGGGTTAAACTGTTCTCTCCCAGGTGCTGCTCTCCTCAGGGCTCTGGCTGCTGCTGCTGTTGGAGCCTCCCTCCCTAGTTTGCCTTGCAATTCCTGTTCCAACCCCTGGAAGTAGGACAGCAAGTCCTGAGGAGCCTGGGACTTTGTAATCCAGGTGGCAGGGGATCCTGTGTGCTCACAGGAGCTCAAGGTGGCTTGGCAGTGGGAGCTCAAGGCAGGGGGAGTCTGGGGGGGGACCTCATAGTGGCAAGGGAGCCCCCTTGTATGTGTGGGGGTGTATTGCAGGGCAGCTTGTATGGCAGTGGGAGTTGAGGTAGGTCGTATGGCGATGGCGGGAGTGCAGGGGAGACTCCATGATGGTGGGGGAGCCCATGTGTGCACATGGGGTGCATGGCAAGGGAGCCCACACAGTATGCAGCCACCACTTCATGCAGCCTCTGGCCACTGAGAAGCTGGACAGCCCTGATTTGGAGGAGGGGACTGAGTAAATTTGCAGACAGTGCCATGCTGGGTGGAGTTGCATCCACTCTGGAGGGGAGGGATAGGATCCAGAATGATCTGGATAGACTGGAGAAATGGTCAGAAATCAGTCAAATGAAATTCAGTAAGGACAAGAACAGAGTCCTGCCCTTGGGAGAGAACAATTGCATACACAAATACAGATTAGGAAAGGACTGGCCAAACTGCAGCACTGTGGGCTACAGTGGACCATAACCTGAATATGATAGTTTAGTCAGAAACAATCCTGCTTTGAGCTGGAGATTGAACTACATGATATCATGAGGTCATTTCCAATGCTACTGTTCTATTATAGTCTATTCAATATTCTATAAACAATATTCTATCGTTTGTGACTGGGAGAAGATTTTGGCAGGCATCAGTACATCAGTTTATGCCCTGTTCATATTTTTGAGATTTTTCTTCCTAAGATAGAAATCTTTCTTTTTTGTTGAAAGTTCATGGAAAAGGGTGCCATGAAGCCCAAGTTTACAACTTCTGAGATAGAGCAACAAAAGTAAGTTACTAGTCCAGCAGTAAATGTCAAGATGTCAAAATTTTTATAATTCCTTCAATACTCCTTTTATAATATAAAAACAATATATTATGACTTTGGATAGCAGCACAGAAAAAACGATCCTTTTTACGTTAAAAATAACAATGGTTTCTCTTTATGATGATATTCCATCCCAAGCAATAAATGGAGATATTTTTCAAAACTAATTGCACCATACTGATTAAAGTTTATGGTTGAATTTTGGAAACAGACCACCCATGTTTCTAATATGCCTTTCTTGTGTTTGTTTCCTCCTCTAAGCTTCTCTAGGAATATTGCCCTGGGTTCAGTGACTTAGCCTAATGTTTTTATAATGGAGAAGGAGGCAAGCCAGCTGGAGAAGGACCATGTCCATCATGTGTATGAGAAAATTGCTCCTCACTTCAGTGACGCACGCTACAAAGCTTGGCCAAAGGTACAGAAGTTCATTTCAAATCAAGAACTGGGCAGCCTGATTGCTGATATTGGTAAGTTGGTTCACTCATCAGGTTGATAACAATCAAAGGCAGATACATCTGCTGTGTATGTTAAACAATGCTATAAAGAGGGAGATGATCAAGGCCACTTTGGTGTAGGTTTAGGGTTTGATATAAGTGCTTACCTGTAAAATCAAAGCAGAGTTTAGAACTGGCCAGTGTCTTTTTAATTTTCATAGGCTACAGACTATCAAATTTGCCCCATTCTCCCTTTTCATAATGTACCAGCTTCCAAAGCCACTCACAAATAAATGCAAACAGTGTGTCAGTGCCCCTTTCCCATTACCAACTGTTATGGGAAGTTATACAAGAACTAAACAGCTGTGCAAGAGGTTACTGATATTTTCCTACATTTTTACTTCTTCTAAGATGTTGCTAGCAGATATGGAAGTTAACAGGCTGAAGAACATAAGAATTTAAAATCGTCTGTTGTTCTAAAGCCTGGTAAGCCAGGACCCTGCCAGTGCAAGATTCCTTTTGCTGCCTAGAAGGACATGTCATGATTGGGTGATGGCTTTGCTATTATTCCTGATAATTCTGTAAGAAGTGTAGTTTTTGAAAAGGACATGAATTGTGGTATGGACACCTGTCCACTGGAAACTGAACCTTTGACCACCAAAGAAACCATTTGATATGGCCCAAATCCTGGTCTCTACTGACCTACACTGGACTCAAAATAAAAAGAAATAGCTTCTCCACTCCTAAACCTTTCCAACCCATTTTGTTGTTTCCTTTCCACTCTAAGAAAGTTCATAAAACAGTCAATGATAACAGCTTGAGTGGAGAACATAACCTGTCCAGGGGTTACACAGACTCTACTATAATGCCCTGCCAGTCCATCCTAGTCTTGATCCTGGTCTTAACACATTTGTTTCATTTTGGGGCCTTCTCCTAAGTAAGTATGGCTATTTCACAGTGAGCTTTTTGTGTGTTTGTGTGTATGGTGACCAAATACATATGCACTATGAACCAACTTAATTTTACCTCTGTCAAAACAGAATTTTAACTTGAGGTTTTCAGAAATGAAAGGTTGTTGTGTTAACTGAATGCACTTGCTGCCCCCAGCTTAAACTAGCCTGCACTGGGTTTGTTTGTTTGTTTTTTAATAACAGACCAACAAGCAAGAGATGAGAAAAGAGATCGAGTAACTTTCTTATATGCAATTTGATAACATGCTTTTACAAACTCTCTTATTTAACCGTGCACAGATTCAGATAACTAAAACTTATTTTAATATGATAGCCTAAAACAGGTCTGAGCTAAAGTTTAATTACATCGTTTATGCACAGGATTACTGTACTTTGGGAAGAGAAAACTGCATGGAGATACCAAAAAAAAAAAGGTCTTCATAGTTGACATAGCAACAGCTATTAGCAGCAGTTAACAACAAAACAATGGATTTAATGACTTAGTCTAATTGTGACTTAATCACTTAGTATTCTAATTTATCTATCAGACTTTCAGTATAAGGGAATAATTCAAAGTGGTGCTAAGACTGTAGGGTGCTTCATTTAGTATTTTTGGTCTCTTACAACCAAAAAAGCAGTGACATCATTAACATAACATGCTATTGATTCTGTATGCTACAGAAAGGCCAATTGCTCTCTGGCGATTCCATCTGAACAGATGCATTCACACAGCAGAGAGCCTACTAGACAGATGAGACCATCTGCCCCCATTGTGCTAAATGGCAAATGGCAAGATGAATTCTTCAATTTGTTTTTTCTTTCAATGGGCGGAGCTTTACAAACTACTGAGGTTAGTCAAGGGCACTTCTCATCACTTACATCAAGATAACATCTTCTGCACAGAAACTGAATGACAGTCTTTCTTCCTCCTCTCTTTTCAGGCTGTGGAAATGGCAAATATCTCCATATCAATTCGAAAGTCTACAAACTGGGCTGTGATTACTGCTTCCCTTTGGTAGAGACAGCAAGAAATGATGGCCATGAAGTAATGCTATGTCATAGCCTATGCCTACCATATCGGAACGAGTGCTTTGATGCTGTCTTATCCATTGCTGGTAAGTACCTGGACATTGGTGTTTTCTATAAACCAAATCTTCAAAGGGATTCCTGTTACTTATTGTTGATCTCTAATGTGTTTTGAGCTTTTAGCCTGGCTGCACAATGCCTTCCAGTCTTAGAAGTGGCCAATCTTACTTTACAGCTTGTGTAGTACACATCTTGTGATGTTACATCACTACAAAACAGAACTTGCATCACCATACTAGTAACTTCATCAGGTAAGTTGTACTGGTATGAATCTTGTTTTGTACTGGTGCAAGCACACCATGTGTGGGAGGTTGCAAAATCCTATTGACAGAGCCTTATTTTAGTTTTTCGCAGTGGTATGAATTTGAAATGTGGATACTAGTCAGCAGG